ACCCATATTGAGGTAGTTGTGAAAAGAAATGTAAATGCTCCATTTTGTAGCCGCGGCAATCTTGGCTTTACAATAATACACAATTTATTAAATGGTATTGTTATCAAAACTTAACGTATGTATCAAATATCAGATTGATCTGTCAACAGGAAGGAGGTCAAGCCTCAATTACTAAATTTGACCCAAACAAACAGGGGAAGCTAAATAAAACCGTTTGAGAATAGAGAACCATGTTTTACAGCAGCGAGTTTCTTCTGATACATAGAAAATACATCAGGAGCATAATCAGGAAGATACCAAAGTTATCAATCTCTGGGACATATGTTGTTTTTTTCTCAAAATGAACTCAAACATAATCCCTACACATATTGTATGTTATTGTATATCCTGAAAACATTCTAAAATAACCCTCCACAAATATGCCTCCAGACAGTTTTTCCAATAACGTGTTCTTATTGAAAATACCTGATTTTCGAAATAACAGCATTCTTCAAAAAATAAACCGCTTCGCAATATTCCACATATTTCCTGATATTATTTTCATAACATTGATTGCATCGTGAAAAATGAAATGCACTCGCAGACGAATACTAGCGTAACATATTGCATAAACTATTCAAAACGAATTTACTTTGTGAGCATATTACTTTTCGCCAAACTCAAAGCACGTCTCTCAAAGATTATGAACTTTCATATCGACCGTATGTGGGACGTGGTTTAGTCGTGTTCGTATAACAATAAAGAAACTTATTAACGTCATGAACATTCACGGTGGAAAATCTAGAGTTTAGATTCGAGGAAAGTGGATTTGCATACTGAATACTGAGTATATCTAGAGATACAAACGTTTCTTTCCATATTAAGGTTGCCGTCTAATCTGGCTTGACAAACTAATCCTCCAGAGGATCAACCTCCTATTTCCATGAATATTTAGCCGAGTCTTCAACTTTTTCTGGGCGATTCATTACCAAAACTAATTTTTACCAAGGATATAATGACTTTATTTCAGTGTTGCGATCTTAACGGTCTTGTCTAGCCGATGAATATGTTCATGGGTTAAAGAATTTGTAAAAGGTTTTCAACATAATGAAACCAATTGCCCATATAGTCATTCGAAATCAAAAAAAGCATGTGCATATTTTTTTCGAATATCCCTTTCTAGAAATTTTCTGGAGTTATACTATGACAAGGTGACGAAATCTAAAATTATTCATGCATTTCGTAACATGCATCAATGAATCACTTGTTTGCAGATAATTAAATTGTTAGGGCTCGTATTGTATTCAGAGTCGTAACTATCCACAGTAAATAATAATAAACATTGTGATTTGTTTGAAGGTGGTTGACAATGTATTCAATTGTCTATCGCCTTAATAGAACACTTCGTACCATACTATCAACTAAACTCGTTCGATGTGCGTATTGGTAGTGTTTATATATGGTAATGGATGTCTCTGTGAGCCGATAGTGGAGTCGCTAAAAGTATTTCGAAGCTATGCGACATTTGAATAATCGCGAGGCCCAAGTACCATTGAGCGCAATCTTGGCCAAGTCACAATTGATTTACTACGAATTGTGGTGGCCGAAGTTTTTTTTTTCAGGGAATGGTTCATAACAGCATGGAAAATCAGCAGAAGAACCGATTAATGACTTTCATCAATATCAAAAAAAATATTTGAAGTAACTACTATTTCATATTCTCAATGGATTAGAAAAGATATAGGAAAAAGGAAGGTTTTCATTCACATACTATTCACTTCAAGTGTCAAAAATGTAGGTGAAGTAGATGTGCATTATAAAAACCTCGACAATTTTCGGAATTTTCGTTTTTGATATTTCGAAAAGTATTTCCAATATCAAAAATTTGCAAATAATTTCGTTCCACTTTCTATCATAGATTATTGAAATTGATGAAATAAGAAGTGAATTCATTGAAAAAACTGGTATATCTGTGACAATCCTTCAAAGTGCTATAACACTGAAGTCACGGACGTTATTTTATCATCCATGGATGCATATATTCCTTTTTCAATGAAACGACCTTCTAATGGCAAACCTTGGTTCAACAAAAATTGCGAGCAAGTTGTCGCCTGCAAAAATCTCGCCTACCGGCAGTGGCGCAAAAATCCCAGTGCCGAAAACCGAAATAGGTTTGTTAATGCCCGCAACAGCTGCAAACTTAGGATAAATGAAAGCAAAGTACTTCGCAATCAGAGAATTAGGAATACAATTCTGTCCAATCCCAACGGGTCTTGATCCTTCTGGTCGGTAGCAGAAGCTAATAATCAGAACTTAACGAAATTCACCATTCCACCACTAACACAATCTACTAGCTGTGTAATTTAGGTCCCACTTTCCTGGGAAAGGCACCACTCACTATTTCCACACTAGAATCCATAATGCCGGAAATTACTTTTCGACAACGTCTGGCCAGACGAATTTTAAAACAGCTCAATATCAAGGCGTCTGGCCCTGATAAAGTGTCCGTCATCGTACTTAAAAAGTGCGCAAATGAACTAGCGCCAGTATTTTGCAGACTTGTCAACCTGTCTTGTGAAAAAGGGGTTTTTCCTTCTTGTTAGAAGGTTCCTCGCGTTCAGCCTATTCCCAAAAATGGCAAGAAAAATTATCTAAATAACCATAGACCGGTCGCTTTGCTATCAGTGATATCAACTATCATGGAGAAAGTCGTAAGCCACCATATCCTCAACTATTTGAAAGGCTTCAACATCTTGACCAATTATCAATATGGCTTTCGGAATTACAGATCAACAGCCGACCTTCTATCGTATGTCCTCCATATTTGGAATGACGCAATCGAGAACATGGAGAATCAAGAGCTGTTGCGCTTGGAATGAGGATTTGCTGGCCAAACTTAGATGCTATAGCTTGCCGGATCATTTCTGTGTATGGCTCTCCAGCTTCTTGAAAACATTCCCTGCAAGTGGCCGTCGTTGGATATCTCTCACCATCCACGCTGGTGTTTCCCAGGGATCCATATTGTCCATAACCCTTTTTTATTGTATATCAACGAGTTACTGGAAAAAACCAAGAATCCAATATATTGCTTTGCTGACGATAGTAGAGCAATATATTGGATTCTCATCATTCCATTTGGATTTCAGGACATCGGCTACGCAGGCACATCTTCACCGGCATCATATAATATAATACAATACTTTATTTTTCTTGAGACTTTCTTACAAACATGGAAATCGTCACATACACAGTAGAGATTGGAGTTGAAAAATATCAAGTGATGAAATATGGAATATACATAAAAAAATTAAATCAATAGCAGATGTAGGAGATAATTATATAAGACAATAGTAGCAATAGACTTGAGTGAACATAGGCATAGTAGTAGCTTAATAAAATATTAATGGGGACAGAATTTCTGAGATTCCAAATAACGAAACAATGCTTGGATAATTTGATAGAAATAGAGTCAATATGATCATTCCAGGATAATTGGGAGTCAATGTTCAACCCTAAAAATATGACTGATTTTTTCTGAACAATAGATTTAGTATTAGCTCTAACCAATATATTGCAGTCCATTTTTCTAAGCGAGAAAACAATGGTATTAGATTTATTGCTATTTAGTACGAGGCTGTTTCTGGCGCAGTAATTAAGCATATTAGCAACTGCAATATCAGTCAGATAACCCTTCACAAGAAGAAGAACTCAATAAGAAAGACGTGTCATGAGCAAACTGTACAATGTTGTTGATTGGTATTAGAGATGTCGTTGACGAATAAGAGAAAGAGAGTAGGACCCAGGACACTACCTTAGGGAACACCTGTTAAGATGTTATCGATTTTCAGAATTATATATTTCAGATTTGAGCCTAACCGCAATACATTGTGATCTGCCAGTCAGATAAGTCTTAATCCATTTTAGACCTTGGCCGCGAACTCCAGTATCATAAAGTTTATCGAGGAGAAGTTGATAGTTGATGGTATCGAATGCACGTGACAAATCAAATAGAATACTGATCGATTTTTCGCCATTTTCAAATTTGAATAATACATGATTGACCAGAAAAAGAGTAGCAAGGGTAAATAAACCAGATCGGAATCTATATTGGCTCTTTGCGAGTAGGTTATACTTTTTACTTAATGAGGATCTAGAAATGATTTCAAATTGGGGTGAAAGTAACCAGGTTCAATTCAATGCCACAAAAACCCAGGCATCGGTTTTGTCCAAGAAGATAAATTTCTTCGAACCAGATATAATAATGTCAGACAATTCTGCTTCGATAAGTTTGTTGGGGGTTAAAATGAACACCAATATGTCTTGGCACAATCATGTAGCTGGAATTGCAAAGGCTGCTCCTCAAAAGCTTGGAGCACTGTTCCGAACCAGAAAATTATACACACCTCATCAAATTTTTATGCTTTATAAAGCATATTATCCTCATGTATGGAGCTCTGCCCCCAAACAGACCCTGAAGCTGCTGGATTCCATCCAGAAAAGAGCCATTCGTCTGATTGAAACGCAAACATCACGTGCAACCTTGACAGCCTGGAACATCGAAGAAAGGTTGGAGATTGGTCTCTCTTCTGTAGATACTTTCACGGGAGGTGTTCAAGTGACTTGACACATTTGATTCCACCAAGAGCGGTAAATATCAGAAATATGCTACGAACTGTGGCTGCTCATCGTTTTGAGGCTCAACTCAATACACCTCGAACTAGAATTCAAATCCAATGTGAATCACTACTTTCGCACTGGCACCGCTCTAAGAGCGCCTTGAAGATTTTCCTGTAGTGCTTGTGTTTTGCCCTTAAAAAACACTTATGGGAAAAAACATCGTACAATGATGAATTGGAAAGAAAATCTCATATAAGTTCATATCCAATATATTTTTGCTATGGTTATACTAACTTTAATCAAAACTCTGTCTCTGTTATTAGCTCTTCATTTCTCGCTTGCCTCGTTTGTAAATTACACCGGTTCTACTGTAATTTTGAATTAATTTTCCCTTGTTTTTGCAGAAACACGGTTCCCGGATGAAATGTTCGGCATGTAATGTGATCGCACATCAGAATTGTATCAGCGTGCTCGTCGAAAAGGTGAAGTTTTCCTGCAAACCAACTTTTCGGGACGTGGGAGTGCGCCAATATAGAGAACATACGTCAGTCCAGCATCACTGGGTTCACAGAAGATCAGAGAAAGGAAAATGTAGAAACTGTAGCAAGGTGAGTTTTTAATTTTATTGAACTCAGACGAATCATTTTTCAAGATGTTGGATAATTAATTACTTTCGAATATGACACATTCAAAAAACACTTTATTGTGAGATTTTCACTGAACGATTTTACAAAAACGCAACACGTGTTTCTCCATACAATGGCCTCTTTACTATCTATGTCTTTGCTATCTAATTCTACATATTCAATGCCTGATATACCTTATTTTATATTTTGAAGTACCTACCTTTCAAGTACCTGATTGTTACCAATGTTTGTGATGAATTAAATCATCTGTTAACCTTGTTAACTATTACAAACCCATTTTTATTATTTTAGATATGAGTGCAAGCTTCCAGTATATGTAAACTATAAACTGTTAATACAACAAGAGTTATAAAGTATTGACGATAACTGGTTCTCATATCAATACTTTCCATAATTCAAATTGCGTATTTTTGAAGAATGAAGATCCGATTCATACCGGCACTGTTTCCCCAATTCAGTATACCATACTTCATGTGGGAGTGGAAATGTGCAAAGTACAGCGTAAGCAAGACATTTTTGCTGCAGTGGTCTTTCATATACTTTATGGTGTAGCAACTACTTCTCAGTTTATTAGTCAATATGACTTGCCCATTGGATATGTTTGTCGAAAATTACTCCCAAAAGTTTCACCTCATCACTACAAGTTATTTGTTTTTATGTATTTTTGAATAACACAGGTGATCTTTGTTTGAAGTGCACAAAACATACTTGTTTTCTTATGATTCAGTAACAGACAATTCTTTTCAAACCAACGAATGATATCTTCATAAATGTTCTTACTTTTACAGTAGCTTGTCTATGTTTTTTTCAAAAATTAGTAAATAGGTATCGTCTGCATAACACACTATTTTTATATCGTGGTTTCTTTCCATTGGACGGATTATATCATTTACAAATCTATTTAACAATAAAGGTCCCAATACAGATCCTTGAGGTACACCTCGATTTATTTCACGGTAACTACTCAGAACTTCATTCAGTCTAATAACCTGACTTCTGCCATTTAAATATGATTCAAATGATTTTAGCGGTATCCCCCTAACTCCATACGATTCTAACTTACTACATAAAAGCATATGATTGACTAAGTCGAAAGTTCTTGGAAAGTCAATGAAAAGACACAGAGCATATTTTCCCTTATCAAGATTGTCTACAAGACATTTTTGAAAATCACACAGAGCAGATTCTGTGATCATTTTTTTACAGAATCCATGTTGATTTCTGCATAACAGTCTCTGACTCCACAGGAATGATGAGAGTTGATTAGTGATGTCCATTTCAATGAGTTTAGAGAGACTTGACAATAAATTGATGGCTCTATAATTGGAAAAGTCAGCAGAATCATTGTATAATGGCAGAACCACAGCTAACTTCAAGCATTATGGGAAAATTCCTTCAGAATAACAGTCATTGATGAGGAAAGCCAATGGTTCACATAAGCCTGCATACGACTTTTAGTAGGTTATTTGATATTTCAGCAAATCTACTCGAGTTGGAAGATTTCAAATTACCAATCAATATTTTAATATCTACAGGTGTAACTGGCTTCTAGAAAAACGATTTTTTGACACTGGCATATTCAACTTTAGATAATCCAGATCATGCTGATTTAGCGAAAATGGATCTCCAGTGAAATGGATGTTAAACAACTCAGCCATTTCCGGGGCAGTCATCTGTTTACCATTATCATCGTGAATGTTTACGGGTATATTGTTTTTACAACGTCCTTTCAAATTATTAATAATTTTCCATACAGTTTTCGATTTATTATTTGCTTTCATTATCAAATCATCATCATCAAATATCTTTTCTTAGCCTCTGACAATCCATTGCAGTAGCATTTCTGTAGCTCTGCTCTTGGTTGATGATATATTGGGTAAGAAGTTGCTAAATCCGATATAAGAGTTAATTGTTGCTTTGAAAGCAGAAGTTCCTCGTTAAACCAAATTCGCTTTTCAGCTCTTTTATTAATGGATATTTTTTTAATAGGGAAACAGGAATCTATCAAACCACTAATGATATTCAATAATTTGTTCCAAGCATTATTGATATTATTTTCAGTGTGAATGCTCTCTCATTGTTCATCTTCCAATTGATTCAGAAACTTCAGAATATTCTGTTCTGAGAATTTTCGCGAAAACTTGTATTGTTGAGGAGCAGTTTTGAGATTTTATTCAATATTGAAAGCCAAGTGCTGAGAAAAATGGTCTGACAGATTTGGATTTTTTACTTCTGATCGCCAGTCATTTATATTGGAGCTTCTGAAATTATTGTCTACACAAGTACTAGAAATTGCAGTCACTCGAGTTGGAGACCTTATTGTTACTGATATATCATAACATCCCAGCAAATCCTCAAAGAGTGCCCTGCCATTACTATATTCCAAGAAATTAATATTGAAATCACCTCCAATAACAATAGTTTTATAATGAGAAGCAACTTTTTCCAGCATATTTGCAGAACATTCTAAAAATAGTTTGAGATCAGTACCAGGAGGTCTATAAACTACAAACATACCAATATATTTTTCATGTGCTACTGCACAACACTCAAATAATCCTTCTACAGAGATATCATTCAGATCTAACTTATATAGAGACAGTTGACATTCATTATTCTTATATTTTGCCACTCCGCCATGTCCAATGCTTTGTCTAGAATAAGCATTGGCCAATGTAAAATTCTCAAGTACTACTTCCTTTATTTTCAAATCATTCTGCCAGTGTTCAGATATCAGAAGAATGTCACATTTGACATCAGAAAATACAACCTCTAGTAGATTCATTTGATCCCGAGTATTATTATATACTTTTTTCACGAAAAAACTGCCTATGAATCATTTTCATTCATTCGTTTGATTGATTTCAATACAATATTATTATACAAAGAGTTATTCAGCACTAAATTCATCATTTCATGAGCAATTTTGAATTTGCTGCCTTTGAGCATTGGATCAACAAGTAATGAGATGGATATGTTTCTTAGCTCTTTTCTGTACCTTCCGTTTCATATTGTTGATTATAATTGTGTCTGACAGATTATTAATTTGTGCGACAATAATGACACTAGTAGTGCGGCCCAGAAGCAGCAAATTTCTCATTGCTTGATTCAGTAATTTTGAGTTACTAATATTGTTTGTGTTAAACATTTCAATTGAATGATCTTGCTTGTCATAGTCAAATGCATTTTCATAACATTCCTCTATGAGGTACGCAAGCTCTGCATTAGATTTGATAATTGAGAATATTTTATATTTTTGTTCAGAATTGACCATACTATTGAGAACCTTATGACGATATCACTTTGTGGACATCCAGCAGATGAATTCGTTATTTTATCGTGCACTGCATCTTGATCTTCTGGCAAATCTGATATTTCCGTGGCTCTGGTCCTGAAACCATCAGTAACATGGCTCAGATGCACTTGAAAGTTCAGTGGCTATGTTAGTTTCCAGCATAGTTTCATTAACTATTTTGTTTTTCTTTTCCTTCGATTGTTTCTTCTTATGGGATGAATCCGTAAGAATAGTCGATTGTTTATTAAGTTTCATAGACCCCTTTTCGACTGAAAGTATATTATCAGTCGTGTCCCATTTTTGGTATTTCTTCTGTTCTTTGTTTTCACTTTTCCTTCTTTCTCTTCTACGTTCCCTTTCGATAGTTCACATTTTTTTTTATTGTACATTTCAGTGCTTACCTGCAGATTCGAGAGATTTGTCAACGTTGTGAAGTCAGTTGGGATTGTCTGTGTAGATATGTGATTCATGTTTTTCATCAATGAACTTTTTTTACATGTTTCCTGGGTTTGGGTCGCCCTGTCAACAAAAACTGGTGATTCTTCATGTCCATGTTTTTCATCACTTATACTTTTTTATCTCACGTTTTAATGTTGAGATAAGCTGATTTTTTACGTTTATTGCGTCCAGTAATTCTCGCTCCATTTTCAAAGATTCTTCTAGTAAAATATCATGTTCTTTCTTCAGTTTATTTATGCGATGAGATTTTTTATTACACTCCTCTTTCAATTCATCCACGATTAGCGTTCAAGGATTATCCACCTCACTTGAGTCAAGGTCTGTGTCACATTCCCTACATATCACTTTATGACTGCCTAAATGCCTTAGTGATTCGGATTTTCCCGCACAACTTATATGAAAAACACCAACACACTTTACACAAACGTAATACATATTCATTGGTTTATTTTTACAACATATAAAACCATAATTTCGTGTTTTTGAGGAGCATTCAGGACTACAATGTTGCTTGTCAGCCATCTTGTCACACACCTATATCTCACCGTTTAGTGTTACAGTCTGGTAGAATCACCCATTCGAATATATGCTGAGCGGAAGCTGACCCCCGCAATTTGAAATGTGGTTTTTCCTTTGAGTCCCAAATTACGGTTCGTTGTCTAAAATAGATTTTCTATCCCAAGCACATATCTTTTATGCAATACCGTTGAACTGGAGTGTGTTATCGTAATCGAAAATGGCTAAGTTCCTCGTTGTTTCCTGCTGATCCAGAACCGAGAAAATCAAATACGTCTGTCTATTTCGCCGTCTACGATAGTTCCGTAAGGAGCGTTCGCTCTTCGTGGATGAGGATAAACCGCTAAATATTCCAACGTTTCCGTCAGATAAGAGCAGACGTCGTGCACATAAAAGTTCATTATTTGGAGAAGGGCTGTAAAGGCAGGCATTAGAAGCTTAATGGAATATCTTCCATTAAGCTTCTACGAGTACGTGGTCGACCTTGTTGACTATAATAGCGGACTAGAAAATTATGTCATTTACATCGATTCAATAATTTCGACAGACCTATGGAGTTTAGTGATTTCAGTCATTCTCGCAGTTTGAAACATTTGTACCGTACTTACTCACTCCTCAAATGGTTTGTTCAATCCAAGAGATTGTGGGAAAACTCTATTTTTCTCCCATGATCTCCATTTTTTTATAGCTT